GGGGAACCTGTGCAGAGAGACTTATTGGTTCCTCGCACTGAGGGCAGGGGGCGCAGGTCGAATGTGTTGTTAAGAGAGATGGGAAGGGGGGCAAAATAAATGAATAAATAAAATAAATCACGCCTTAAAAACACGTGGGAGAGATCACTCAAATATGCCTCCCGTCTTTGTAGCTCCGGTGTCACCTCTACTCTCGGCTGCTGCTGCTGAGGCTGATGATGGACGCGTGCCGCTGCTGATAATCAGCTGCAGCCCGTTCCTCATCAGTGTTACTGCACGATGCTGGAAACAACCGTAAATCACCTGCTGTGCTCCGTTCGGCTCCACTGTAGCCGCTGCCTTTGACCTTGTGCTGCGTTGCCCCTTAAGTGGCTTTTGAAATGTGCAGAAGTCAATGCACTCGCGTGAGCAACGTGTCCGTCGTCGTTTCACCACCTGTATCGTCAAGTAAAGGCAGTTTTTTTTAATTTTTTTATTTATTTTTGATAGGGCAAAAACGATAAGAATCCCCCTTGGAGGCAATTAACTGCACTGCTATTACATAATGACAGCCTACACTTTCCACCAGCCACACTGGTCCACGCGCTGCTTTAAGGGAGACGTGAGTCCGGGTGGGAGGAGGAGGAGGAGGGGGGGCGTGGGACAACAACAACACATCCACACCTCACACACGCACGCGCAGCGGGACGAAAATGAAACACCTTGAAAGTGTCAGGACGTGGACAACGACACTTGTTCCCGGCATCTTTCTTACCTTTGCTGTTGCTCCCCTCTTCCCTGTTCAGATACATGGCTGTGGTTTGACTCCCAGGCAGCAGGACAGAGTAGGATATGTCACTCAGATACTCCTGTATCCTGAACGCTCGGCGGCTTTTGTCTCTAGTACCGGCCGTGTGTTGTTTTTGTTGCTCCTCAACGGCTTCTCTCCTCCTCCTCCTAGTGGATAGGTAGACTGAGCAGTTTGAGACTCTCACTGTCTCCCTCCCTCTGCTCGCTCTCTTTCTCTCTCTCTCTCTCTCTCTCTCTCCCTCTCCTCCCTCTCCACCTCTTTACTCACGCCTTGTGGCTCAGAGGACAAAATGGGGAGAAGTGACTTTTGTCAGCTGTGTAAAGAAGTCTTAAGTCATTCGGCGTGCAGCCTTCGTGGACACTGATTTATCCGTTTAATAGCAGTCCGTTGCGTAATCAGAGTGGAGCTAGTGTTCAGCCAAGCCATTACTGCCTCAGAGTCTCCATGACTGTAATTACCACCATGATAGAAAGATATGACTTTGGTCTTTTGACTCTATAATTACTTCATTATTTCCACAATGTTTATGTTCTTTTATTTCAAATTCATCCCATTAGGTTCATGTTATGGATGAATAATGCAGACTGTCATTATAGTTCAAGGGAAAACCTTTCAACTCAACAGAGAGAGTGCTTCTCAGGAACTGTCTACGCACAATTGGGAATAGGTGTCAAACTCAGGTTCGCGGACCAAATCTGGCCCATGGTTTAATCATATTTGGTCCAAAAGATCACATCGAATGTGTGTTAGAGCTCACCCGCCACTATATACTGGTGGGATTTGTAGTATTAGAAATGTATGCACGATATTATTGTTCTTTTGTTGGCCTGTATAAAAAAAAATTACATTAAAAATGAACTCAAAAGGCTACAAAGCTAAAGTTTGCTTTCATATGAAAAAAATTCTACATTGCAAATCTGGAGAGAAGGGAAACGGTGCACAATTCCAGTCAATGTTTCAATAAATATCAAGTTTGGCATGCTACTTTGTCCCAGTTTGTACTCTCGGCCCACAGTAAATTTGAGTTTGGCAGCCCTGTTATAGAGGATTCTAATTCCTGTTGGTCTGCTTCCATTTTCTCAAGTAATTAATCACCTGTTACCTCTGTAGTTAATAAATTATTTTGTAAACATCAATTACATAAATAAGAGTGGGCCATGGCAGACGTTTGAAGGCTGGGATTTAGCTGCAAACTTAAACGGTTTGTTAAGTCATAAAATAAATAAAATTCGCAAGACATGAACTTCAAAACACAGCTGAAACAGCCACCCAGTACACACTCCCCAAACACACTCAACCAATAATCCCACAAAGACAGAGTGATGGAGGGAGGTATATATACCCAGGGCACCAGGTGACGCCAGTGAGACTAATCAGACACAGGTGAGTGCGATGACACTAACTCC